GTCACACAAAAAAAGACAAAAACAAAGAAGAGGTCGTGGCACACCTGCGAGTTGTTCACGGAACACAAGTGTTCCACGGAACATAGTTTAAGAAACACTCATCTAGAGTGAGAGAGACTGTGGAACTGGCCTTCATATGTAAGTTTGACTCATTTACCCAGGGAATGAACAAAGACATTAACTGGATGAGCCTTTATAACCCAAATGGCATCAAAAGCTCAGTATTGAACTCTTACAGCCCATTCTATTAGCCTCATTTAGCACGGACGCTATAATTGACAGGTTTTCCCTCTCTTCTCTTTCTCTGCATTAAATTTTTGGGGTTTCTGTGCACCTCTTGCTTCACTCATCTGAAGAAGTGGGTTGTGCCCATGAAAGCTCATGATACCCTCTATATTTTTGTTAGTCTCTGAGATGCTACAGGACCACTCATTGTTTTTTCATTTTTTTTAAAGTTACAGACTAACACAACTACTGCTCTGAGACTTTATTCTGTCCTCTTTCCTATGATACTGATAAAAAGTGACAATCCTCTACCATTTCAGTTGGGTTCCTCCAGTCACCAGTGGCAATCAGTCCATCTGTGGCATCTTTGTAAGATCAAGATCCTCAGTCTGTTTGCTCTACAGGGTACACATGTTATGCTCAACTCCTGTTGACTCAAACCTAAACCCTATCTTATGGACTTCAGTGGGAAATACAAGTTTGCAAGTTGAGGCCTTACTTCTTCCTGGTTCCTGCTGCTACTCTTTACCATGGTTTCCTTGTCTTGTCTCCAGTTGCTATCTATCTTAGATACGTTTGTAACCCACTATACTGTCCCCTTGTAATTGGCTGTATAGTTCATTAAGCCAGGGGTTCTCAAACTTGTGATACTGTGACCCTCCTCTCCATTGCTGCAACCACCTTCTCAGTTGCTCACAACCCCCCGCTAATTTGTTTGCGATCCCCCTCTAAGTTGCTCGCAACCCCCCGGGGGGTCGGGACCCACAGTTTGAGAAATGCTGCGTTAAGCACTTGTATTACCTCTGTATTAATGACATGTAACAATTAATTGTATTCTATTATTCATGTATTTATTATTTGTTTCTGCATTTATACCTGGCTCATGTGCAGACAGCTGAATTGATCTGTTTTTATCCTGCAGAGACTTAAGCTGTAGGTTTAACTTTTCTGCACTGGCAGTAGTTCCTTGGAGTTCAGTGCAGTTGTGCAGTTTCAGGTACATAAGCTTCAACAGCCTTGAGACTATAACTGAACAATTGCGTCCCCAGCAGATTTCTTATGATGCATGTGCTAAATATTGATCCAGAGGATAGGATTTTTCTAAGCACTCAGGTTTGGTCCCACTTTGCTCCTATGGACCAGCTTGGCTTAACAGTGAAATCCTTGGTGAGCTAAAACACAAAAAGGAAGCTTATGGGAAGCAGAAACTTGGACAGGTGTCCAGGGAACAGTATAAATATATTGCTCGAACATGCAGGGGTGTAATGAGGAAGGCTAAAGCACAATTGGAATTGCAGCTAGCAAACTATGTGAAGGGTAACAAGAAAGGATTCTACAGGCAATAAGAGGGTGGTCAGGGGAGCTGTGGGACCCTTACTGGATGAGGGAGGTAACCTTATGACAGATGATGTGGAAAAAGCTGAAGTACTCACTGCTGGAGGGGGGAGGAGGGGGTTGCCTCTGTCTTCTCAGACAAGGTCAGCTCCCAGGCTGTTGCACTAGATAACACAGTATGGGAAGGAGGTGGGCAGCCCACAGTGGAGGAAGAACAGTTTAAGAACTATTTAGAAAAGTTGGACAGACACAAATCCATAGGGCCGGATCTAATGCATCCGAGGGTGCTGAGGGAGTTCTCTGATGTCATTGCAGAGCCTTCGGCCATTATCTTTGAAAACTCGTGGTAATTGGGGGAAGTCCCAGATGCCTGGAAAAAGGCAAATGTGTAGTGCCCATCTTTTAAAAAAAAGGACAATTCAGGGAACTACAGACCAGTCAGCCTTACATCAGTCCCTGGAAAAATCATGGAGGGGATCCCCAAAGAATTCATTTTGAAGCACTTGGAAGAGAGGAAAGTGATCAGGAATAGTCAACATGGATTCACCAAGAGCAAATTATGTCTGACCAACCTGATTGCCTTCTATAAAGTAACTGGCTCTGTGGGTATGGGGAAGGCGGTGGATGTGATGTTCCTTGACGTTAGCAAAGCTTTAGATATGTTCTCCCACAGTATTCTTGCCAGTGAGTTAAGGAAGTATAGATTGGATAAACTGACTGTATTAATGACAGAAAGCTGGATAGCTTGTCTTGTTCAACAGGTAGTGATCAACAGTTCAACGCCTGGCCTGTGGTTGGTATCAAATGGAGTGCCCCAACAGTCGATACTGGGTCTGGTTTTGTTCAACGTCTTTATTAATGACCTGGTTGAGGGGATGGATTGCACCCTTAGCAAGTTTGTAGATGAGGAGAAGTAGATATGTCGGCGGGTAGGTACGTTTGGATAGGGTCCAGAGTGACCTAGACAAATTGGAGGATTGGGCCAAAAGAAACCTGCTGAGGTTCAGCAAGGACAAGTGAAGAATCCCAAGCCCTGCTAGAGGCTGAGGACTGACTGGCTAAGCAGCAGTTTGGCAGAAAAAGACCTGGGGCTTACAATGGATGAGAAGTTGGATATAACTACAATGCTTTTTTTGTGACGGTACTGCGATTTCAAAAATTACCATGCCCCTTCCGGAAAAGGGGCCAATGTAGACGAGCCCATACAGAATAAGACATGATGGTCTAGGAAGGAGTACTGCAGAAAGATATCTAGGGGTCAGAGGGGACCACACGTTAAATATGTGCCATCAGTGTGACACTGCTGCAAAAAAAGCAAACCTGATTCTGGGATGCATTAACAAGAGCGTTAGAAGCAAGACTCAAGAAATCATTCTTCTGCTCTACTCTAAACTGATTAGGCCTCAATGGGAGTACTGTATATTGTGCTGGGCACCACATTGCAAGAAAGATGTGGAGAAAGGCCAGAGAAGAGTGACAAAAATGATTAAAGGTCTGGAAAACGTGAGCTATGAGGGAAGACTGAAGAAATTGGCTTGTTTAGTTTGGAAAAGAGAAGACTGAGAGGAGACATGATAGAGGTTTTCAGGTACCTAAAGGGGTGTCATGGGGGAGGGGGGAAGAATTGTTCTCCTTGGCCTCTGATGATAGGACAAGTAGAAATGGACTTAAACTGCAGCAAAGAAGGCTTAAGTTAGACATTAGGAAAATCTTTCTATCTCTCAAGGTGGTTAAACGCTGGAATCAGTTGCTTAGGGAGGTTGTAGACGCTCCATCACTGGAGATATTTAAGAGCAGGTTTGACAGACAGCTGTCAGGGATGATCTAGATGGTGCTTGGTCCTGCCCTGAGGCTAGGGGACTGGACTTCAGGATCTCCCCAGGCCCCTTCTAGTTCTAGGGTTCTATAATGCTGACCCCCGGGATAGCATGAAAGGGGTGCAGCTCCACCCTCCAGTACAGCTGCAGTCAGCCCCCCATTGCAGCCCTCTCCTCCCCCATCCGTGCATTAAGAGAAGTGTTGCTGTGACCCATAGCATTAACCCCCAGCGAAGGGCTGGTTCTTTCCCTGGGGTGAGGCGGTTCCCCTTGTCCCAGTCACTGCACTAGCAGCTTTGGCTCCTTGAACTTTGGCAGCAGAAATCGCCACGCCTGGCACTCCGGGGAGAGTGTGGGGGGGGGTGAAGGCTTCTCTGAGCCTCGTGCACTGAGCGTCCGACCCTCCACGCCTGCTTCGCCGGGCCGGGGGCTGCAAGGAGGGAGCGGCGGCCCTTAGGGCCCCGAGGCACTTCCCCATCCCCACGGCGAACGGGCTCTGTGTAGAACAGGCAGATTTGACAGCCGCGCCTCGCCAATCACGGAAGGGCAGGAAGGGGGGGGGGCGCGGCCG